ACTTATTGTCGCTTATTGAACACTCCAATTCAATTTATTCAAACTTATTCTTAATAATATCAAATCAGTGAAATCACTGGCATTTTTGTTGAATTGTGAGACGGGAAGTTAAATTTGTTATTTACAAACTTAAAGTGTATAGGCCTACGTTTGATTGCTCAAACTAGAAAGCATGATATTATATATATTCTTATAATTTAACATTTCCTCGAACGCGAGTCTGTGTTCTCTCATTAGCCAGGGAGTTTAGTTAAAGTAGACATTTTGGTAACAAGCAAACCAATTCTGAACGTATAGTGAATCAATTTTCCCTTTCTATATATTTCTTGTCAGATTTGCATGATAAAGTAGTATTTGTTGGCGATTTTTTGTGAAAGTTGAAACCTACGGAAAGTTTTAGCACACGGACATCGCACCCGAAATAAAAAGGGTCACATATTCTTGTATCCCATCGAACCTGGTCAATTTAAATTATTTTTTGAATAGAAGTGAACATTACTAATGGACAGGGAAATCAGACAAAACTTAAAGGGAATTGTGTAAATTAAAACCATAAATTAGCAAAAAACCTTTTTTTTTATAGTCTTCTAGCTTTAGGGTTCATGTGGGGGGTTACGTTTCCTTTGAACGCCCCGCCTTTCCTTGTTTATATTGTTTATCATTATTCTAAAGCTAGGTGTTCCCGCTCCCTACGACATGCTGCGATAAGATACGCACTTTATTGGAAAGCTATCTAATCAAATCACTTCATTGTTCTTTTTTATCTTAAAAAATACGACAGTTTATCATGGTTATTAATTTAATCTTTGTGCGTAAGAATTTATAAAGCGGTTAGCGATATTTTAGCTTTAAATGATTTTGATTATTTTAATAATAGTTTGCTAGTAAAATTGCCTTTTTGACACCAACTTTGTTCTCATTTTTTATTTTAATGATAACATTTAGCTATTGATCAGTAAGTAAATAAATATAATCATTTTTTTATAATTAACGAGTACATTTCACCGTAATTGTGAGACGAACCCTAAATGACGTCTATATGGGCGCCGCCATTTTGAAATGGACGTCACGTCAGGTTACAACGTAAGTCAACGGGGATAAATATAATTTTAACATTTTGACCATATTACTGACTTTATGAAAAAAATGAAAAACATGCCTAGAGATATTGACGTCAGGGTTAAGATGACATTAATTTAAATGATTTTACTATTATATTAAATAAAAAATGGAATGTTCAAATTTGATGGGACAGACTATAGGCGATATTACACTATAGTGTGTAATAACACTTTGACGTCACGTCATTTGCACTATAAACATAGCGTTAAAGCGCGCTAATGTTAGCGTTACACTATAGGCGCGTCAAAGTAAAATGACTCTTGTTAATAGTTTACCATTCTTATTTTATATATGTGATAAATAGAATATTATATTCGTGTAGGTTTAATACTAAATTTATTGAACTCGTTGAATAAAACAATATTATGCTCGCCAGAGGCTCGCATAATATGATTTTATTCAACTCGTTCAATAAATTTAGTATTAAACCTACACTCATTCAATATCCTCTATATGTACAATCTAAGGAAGAAAATTTGTATAATATAATCTTTGTTGTTTTCGCGAGGAATAATCTTACGACTTTTTTCTGTTTCAATATTTCACGATACACCAACTTGTATGTAGCAGTGGAAAAAAATGTATCATTTCTTTTGGCCAGAAATAATGATTTCCCAAATGGGAAAAATGACAAATTAAGCGCTCGGCATTTCCTCGTGAGCAAATGATAGCTCGATTTTCGCACAGATTGTCGCTATGGGACACTTTTTTTGTCTTGCAATATTCATGAAATTAATAAAGCTAAACATAAAGTTTGCTGTATGATGTTCCCCTCATCGATTGTTTTATAATTAGACCTGTAAATAGCCAGATGTCACGCCGGGCTTTCCTAAACTGTAATTGTTTGAAGAAAATAACTTTTCACGATAGCAATTTCTTTACAATGAAAAACAAATAGTGTCAAGTAAAGCTTTCGAACATAACTTTTAAATTAGGAGCTCATAACTACGAAATAATTTGCCCTTAAAACTTGATTTTATCCTGCTTTTGCATTCCACTTTATACGTATTTTGTTTTTGTTGCATCAGCTTATTATTTAAGGCAATAACGAATCTGAATCAGGTCGTAAAAATATTTAATAGAGTAAATTAAAAATAAATTATTACAAAGACGGAGATCAAATGTGCTATTACGAAATTGAACTGTGTACGTCAATAAGACGCTAATAAATGACATTAAATGTCAAATTTTGCCAGGTCAAATTCAAGCTTATAATTAAAAATCACTTCAAAATCCTACTGTACCAGTTTAACGTCAATATGATACTTAAAACATACCATTATAGTCAAACGAAGAAACAGTTAACTATATATCGAGGCTTCCAAATTGTTATTGATTGATGGTGATGCAGACGAGTTTTCGGTCGTAATGTCATTGAATAAAAAAGAAACAAGAGGGTCATGATAGCTCTTTTCTTATATCGTTCATCTGACGGTTAAGGCTTTAAACATTAATATTGTAAACTATGAATAAAAAGCAGGTAAAAGGTCTAAATCTTAAACGGATATTACTAAATTCGTATCTACATCTGAAAGAATGCACATGTAAAAAAGCCAGTGGTTGAGACGAAAGCCAATGTCAGATTCACGTGTTGCTATGAGAAGTCAATGGTCGCAATGGTAGTCACTGGTTGCAATGTAAAAATTCACTTCTTGCCATAAAAGTCACTGGTTACTATAAAAATCAAAGGTTGATATGAAATGCCAATGGTTGCTATAGAAAGTTAATGGATTCTTTGGAAGTCACTTGTTGCTATGGAAATCAGAAGTTGCTATGGAAGCCATTGCAATGGGAATAACTGATTGCTAAAATAGCCACTGGTTACCATAGAAAGTCAATGGTTGCAAGGGAAAGTTGAAAGTTATTGTGGAAGTTAATAATTGCTATGAAAAAACAGTTATTGGCATAAAAATTATTTGGTTTCTATTGAAGTCAATGACTGGTATAGAACTTTGGTTGCTAGGGAAGTCACTTGTTGCTATAGAAATCAATGGTTCCTATTGAAGTAAATGGTTGCTTAGGAATATCAATTACTGTTATGGTAGCCACTCGATGCTTTAGAAAATCAATGGTTGCAGTGGAAGATAATGTTTGTTTAAAGAATGTCAGTGTTTGCAATGGGAGTTAATGGTTGCTATCGAAAGTCAATGGCTCTTGTTGATGTCAGTTATTGCTAAAGAAAGTTAATAGTTTCTACATATAAACGAATATACAAAGAATGAAGTATAATGATAAACCTTACAGGACTTATTAGTTTGACAAAGTCAAAATGAATGAAAGTGACGGGGATATCCTTGCCAGACTGCGGCAGTTCTAGTTCTTTTAGTTGCCGCGCTAACCAGAGTTCTGCTTTGAATGGAATTCTTCAAACAATTTTAAAAAGTCTTTATACCAGGAACAACCCTGCTTAGTTTTAACAACAATAACCCAGTAGTGTAGAAGGACATGTTGATGAAACAAAAGTTGACGACGGACACAGTCCGGTCACAATAACTTACCTTCAGGACGTTGTACATTCGGTAAGTTTTCGCGAAAACAGCGTTTTAGGCTACCTTTATCCTGCAATATTTTGCCTCGTTTTCATTTTTAGAATTCAAAATTCCTTATCAAATCCTTATTGTACATGAAGTAACTGCAAGTTCTGCCAAAATGTCAAACAATGGTTGGGTCAGTATACTGTACATTGCTGTGTACAATACTAATTCTATTTGACTGGTACACAGTTGCAAGATCCTCGATCAAAAGACTCGGTTAGCAAAAAGTGCTTAACAGCTATATATTCTTCCACAAGAATTCAGTTTTGTACTAAACAATATATACAGTGTAAGGGGAGCGGTAGTCTAGTGGTTAAGGTGTCTGCCTCTCAACCCAGGGATCATGGGTTCGAGCCCTAATCGGGTCACGACCATGTTTCTTCAGTTGACACCAGTACTGGTTGGTTCTAGGAGCGGACTCGAAAGTGTTTAATACATGTTGAAAGAACTTGTTTTGCAATCGGGCTTAAATAAATATGCTTAAACAAATAGATACAGTCAAGTAACCTGTTCCGGTACAGGACCAGCTCCGGTTTCTTCAATGCCGTTTTCAATGAAATATTTCTGACATTTGAATTTTCTTTGATAATATAATGCAATGTGTGGCAAACGTGTCTGTTGGCAGCTCATTTTCTTATAATTGCCGGTTTTCTAGAAAAATGACATTGAAACATGCGGATCTGGTCCTGTGTCGAAACTGGACCACTGATAGTCATTACCTTATAATAGTTCACACTAGTAGATGACACTTACTTAAATAATCATTTATATATGTTATTTTATTTTAACAAAGCCATTGCTGTCAATACATTTATAGCTTGAAAATTTACATTTCATCTGGACTATTACTTCACGAACCCTTCCACAAGGTCCTTATTTCGTGTTAACACGTGTGTAAGCTAAGGTAACATAGATCTATCAGATATATTTTTGCTACATTGTATTTGTATAATATATACATGTATGACAGAAAATAGGTTAAATAAATTCATTCGGAAAACGTTAGACTTAATAAGCATATATTTACTACTAGGTAGCAAATGTCATATTTGATTACTGTTGATTGAATGAAACATATTAGCCTATCTTATTTTCCAAACGTTCAACATGACTGAATTAGGTACAATACAGATATAATTATATTAGTATGTGAGAAGTTAGCAGTTAACAGTGAGCTAAGCAAAAAGGCATTACGATTTATATAGGGAAATCAATGATCTGCTGTTATGCTCAGCTGGGTAAGCAATCTAGCAGAGTATTCCAAAATAAAGTGTAGAAATGCTTTGCTGGTATGCTCAGCTGGGTAAGCAATCTAGCAGGCCATTACTATGTTTATAATCTTACCTCTAAGAGAAGTTGCACTACCAAAGTTGGATAAGGATCTTGTCCGTAATATGTAACTGGTCGATCTATTGGACAATCAAAAACTTGCCACTCCGAGTTTAAAACGTATGACGACATATCCGCCTTTGTTGATATATTAATGACGTTAACTTGGTTACCACTGTATGCCCATGAACCAAATGTGAGGTTACACACTTGATAGTCAAATGGGAAATGTGTGACATCTACAGCACAAACGCTTCTGAAATGGCACGGAAATGACATGGAGATTAAACGGAAATGACACGGAAATGATATGGAGATTAAACGGAAATGACACGGAAATGATATGGAGATTAAACGGAAATGACATGAAAATGTCATGGAGGTGACATAGAAATCACATTGAGAATATTTTAAGTAGGTGCTCCTTTAGCTTGACACCTTTTAATGGCTCTTGTTCCTATTTTCATAATTTCCCTAAAATGTGCCTGTGTGTGTTAATGAGTGTATGTTTTGATAGTATGTGAGAAGTTAGCAGTTAACAGTGAGCTAAGCAAAAAGGCATTACGATTTATATAGGGAAATCAGTGATCTGCTGTTATGCTCAGCTGGGTAAGCAATCTAGCAGAGCATTCCAAAATAAAGTGTAGAAATGCTTTACTCGTATGCTCAGCTGGGTAAGCAATGTAGCAGGCCATTACTAAATAAAGTGTAAAAATGCTCTGCTGTTATACTCAGCTGGCTAAGCAATCTAGCGGGGCATTCCAAAATATAGTGTAAAAAGCTCTGCTGTTATGCTCAGCTGGCTAAGCAATCTAGCGGGGCATTCCAAAATATAGTGTAAAAATGTTCTGCTGTTATACTCAGCTGGCTAAGCAATCTAGCGGGGCATTCCAAAATATAGTGTAAAAAGCTCTGCTGTTATGCTCAGCTGGCTAAGCAATCTAGCGGGGCATTCCAAAATATAGTGTAATCATGATCTGCTGGTATGCTCAGCTGGCTAGGCAATCTAGCAGGGCATTCCTAAATATAGTGTAAAAATGCTTAGCTGTTATGCTCAGCTGGCTAAGCAATCTAGCGGGACATTCCAAAATAGTGTGTAAAAATGCTCTGCTGAATTGCTCAGCTGGCTAGGCAATCTAGAAGAGCATTCCTAAATATAGTGTTAAAAATGCTCAGCTGTCTAGGCAATCCAGCAGAGCATTCCTAAATATAGTGTAAAAATGCTCTGTTGGCAAGCTCAGCTGGGTAAGCAATCTAGCAGAGCGTTCCAAAATATAGTGCGTAAAATGCTCTGCTGGTATGCTCAGCTAGCTAAGCAATCTAGCAGGGCATTCCTAAATATAGTATTAAAAATGCTCAGCTGGCTAGGCAATCTAGCAAAGCATTCTGAAAATTAGTGTAAAAATGTTCTGCCGGAATGCTGAGCTGTCTAGACAAACTAGCAGGGCATTCTTAAATAAAGTATAAATTTCGTTGGTCTGCAACTGATTATTTGGCACTCGTAGACTTTCTGAAATATTTAGTGCCAATGCAGATAATGACATTTTTGACTTCTACAGGACCCTCAAGTGTCTATTTCTTTGGTCTCCGACTGATTCTGGGACGATCGCAGACTTTCAGGAATTTTTGGTGTTAATGACATTTGTGAAATTTTAGGACCATCCAGAGTCCATTTCGTTGGTCTGCGAATGTTTCTGGAACACTTGCAGACTTTCAGAAATTTTCGGTTCCAATGGAGATAATGACATTTTTTCTTCAAAAGGACCCTCCTGAGTCTATTTCGTTGGTCTGCGACTGATTCTGAGTCACTCGCACACTTTCAGGAATTTTGGTGTCAATGCAGAAAATGATATTTCTGACATATTGGGACCTTTCTGAATCCATTTTTTTGGTCTGCGACTGATTCTGAGGCACTCACAGACTTTCAGGAATTTTTTATGTCAAGGCAGATAATGACATTTTTTACTCTAGGGACCATCCACGGTCCATTTTTTTGGTCTGCGACTTAATCTTGGACAGTCACAGACTTTCAGGAATTGTTGGTGCCAATAGAGATAATTACAATTTTACTTCAAAAGGACCCTCTTGAGTCTATTTCATTGGTCTGCGACTGATTCTGAGTCACTCGCAGACTTTCAGGAATTTTGGTGTCAATGCAGAAAATGATATTTCTGACTTATTGGGACCTTTCTGAATCCATTTTTTTGGTCTGCGACTGATTCTGAGGCACTCACAGACTTTCAGGAATTTTTGATGTCAAGGCAGATAATGACATTTTTTACTTCTAGGGACCATCCACGGTCCATTTTTTTGGTCTGCGACTTAATCTTGGACAGTCACGGACTTTCAGGAATTGTTGGTGCCAATAGAGATAATTACAATTTATGACATTTTTGACCATCCAGAGTCTATTTCGTTGGTCTGCGACTGATTATTAGGCACTTGCAGACTTTCAGGAATGTTTGGTGCTAAGCCAGATAATGACATTTTAGGGTAAAAATGCTCTGCTTATGACTAAGGGGTCCTTAAAAGTAAAAAAGTCATGATCTGCAATGGCACTAAACATCCTGAAAGTCTGTGAGTATCAAGGAATCAGTCGCAGACCCAAGAAATATACTCTGGCGGTTCCCTTAAAGTCAGAAATGTCATTATCTCCATTGGCATCAATATTCCTGAAAGTCTGCAAGTGTCTCAAAATCAGTCGCAGACCAGCGAAATGAACTCTGGTGGGTCGCTAGAAGTCAAAAATGTCATTATCTTCATTGGCACCAGAGATTCCTGAAAGTCTGCGAATGTCCCAGAATCAGTCGCAGACCATAAAAATGGACTCTGGCGGGTCCCTAGAAGTAAAAATTGCCATCATCTCTATTGGCATCAAAACTGTCCTGAAAGTCTGCGAGTATCATACAATACGCTGCAGGCCAATGAAATGGACTCTTAAAGGTCCCTAGAAGTCAAAAATGTGATTATTTCCATTGGCACCAAACATTCCTGAAAGTCTGCGAGTGTCCAAGAATCAGTCGCAGATGACCAAAATGGAATCTTGTGGGTCCCTAGAAGTCTTAATTGTCAATATCAGCATTGGCACCAAAATTCCTGAAAGTTGCGAGTGTCCTTTAAAAAGTCGCAGGACAATGAAATAGTCTCTCAAAGGTCTTTGAAGTAAAAAATATCATTATTGCTATTGGCACCGAAAATTCCTGAAAGTCTGCGAGTGCCTCAGAATTGCCTAGAAGTCGAAAATGTCAATAAAACATTGGCAACAATAAATCCTAGAACTCAGAATCAGTCTGCCAACTGAGCATTCCACCAGAGCATTTTTTAACTATATTTCGGAATGCCCTGCTAGATTGCCTAGCCAGCTTAGCATTCCACCAGAGCATTTCTACACCATATTTAGTAATGCCCTGCTAGATTGCCTAGCCAGCTGAGCATTCCACCAGAGCATTTTTTTCACTATATTACGGAATGCTCTGCTATAGTGCCTAGCCAGCTGAGCATTCCAGCAGAGCATTTTTTACACTATATCTAGTAATGCTCTGCTAGATTGCCTAGCGAGCTGAGCATTCCACCAGAGCATTTTTTCACTATATTAAGGAATGCTCTGCTATAGTGCCTAGCCAGCTGAGCATTTCTGCAGAGCATTTTAACACTTTATTTAGTAATGCCCTGCTAGATTGCCTAGCCAGCTTAGCATTCCAGCAGAGCATTTTTACACTATATTTCGTAATGCTCTGCTAGATTGCCTAGCAGCTTAGCATTCCACCAGAGCATTTTTACACTATATTTAGGAATGCCCTGCTAGATTGCCTTGCCAGCTTAGCATTCCAGCAGAGCATTTTTACGCTTTATTTAGTAATGCCCTGCTGGGTTGCCTAGCCAGCTTAGCATTCCAGAATAGCATTTGTACACTATATTTAGTAATGTCTTGCTAGATTGCCTTACCATCTTAGCATTCCAGCAGAGCATTTTACACTATATTTAGTAATGCCCTGCTTGATTGCCTAGCCAGCTTAGCATTCCAGCAGAGCATTTTCTCACTATATTTAGTAATGTCCTGCTAGATTGCCTAGACAGCTTAGCATTCCAGCAGAGCATTTTACACTATATTTAGTAATGCCCTGCTAGATTGCCTAGCCAGCTGAGCATTCCAGCAGAGCATTTTTACACTATATTTAGTAATGCTCTGCTAGATTGCCTAGCCAGCTTAGCATTCCAGCAGAGCATTTTTTTCACTATATTCAGGAATGCCCTGCTAGATTGCCTAGCCAGCTTAGCATTCCAGCAGAGCATTTTTTACGCTTTATTAGTAGTAATGCCCTGCTGGGTTGCCTAGCCAGCTTAGCATTCCAGAATAGCATTTGTACACTATATTTAGTAATGTCTTGCTAGATTGCCTAACCATCTTAGCATTCCAGCAGAGCATTTTACACTATATTTAGTAATGCCCTGCTTGATTGCCTAGCCAGCTTAGCATTCCAGCAGAGCATTTTCTCACTATATTTAGTAATGTCCTGCTAGATTGCCTAGACAGCTTAGCATTCCAGCAGAGCATTTTACACTATATTTAGTAATGCCCTGCTAGATTGCCTAGCCAGCTGAGCATTCCAGCAGAGCATTTTTACACTATATTTAGTAATGCTCTGCTAGATTGCCTAGCCAGCTTAGCATTCCAGCAGAGCATTTTTTCACTATATTCAGGAATGCCCTGCTAGATTGCCTAGCCAGCTTAGCATTCCAGCAGAGCATTTTTACGCTTTATTTAGTAATGCCCTGCTGGGTTGCCTAGCCAGCTTAGCATTCCAGAATAGCATTTGTACACTATATTTAGTAATGTCTTGCTAGATTGCCTAACCATCTTAGCATTCCAGCAGAGCATTTTACACTATATTTAGTAATGCCCTGCTTGATTGCCTAGCCAGCTTAGCATTCCAGCAGAGCATTTGTACACTATATTTAGTAATGTCTTGCTAGATTGCCTAGACAGCTTAGCATTCCAGCAGAGCATTTTACACTATATTTAGTAATGCCCTGCTAGATTGCCTAGCCAGCTGAGCATTCCAGCAGAGCATTTTCTCACCATATTTAGGAATGCCCTGCTAGATTGCCTACTATCTTAGCTAGCCAGCTGAGCATTCCAGCAGAGCATTTTAACACTATATTTAGTAATGCCCTGCTAGATTGCCTAGCCAGCTGAGCGTTCCAGCAGAGCATTTTTCACTAAAGCTAGGAATGCTCTGCTAGATTGCCAAGACAGCTGAGTATTGCAGCAGAGCATTTTTACACTATATTTAGGAATGCCCTGCTAGATGCCAAAAACAGCTGAGCATTACAGCAGATCATTACCTTCCCTATATAAATTGAAATGCCTTTTTGCTTAGCTCACTGTTCACTGCTAACTTCTCACATACGTTTTGATATCCCCTCTGGTGATGCCGTGTGCAACTCAATCGAACCGAGTCTGCACTTTTCATATAACTTTTTGGGGATTAATGCTTCCGAGGAATCACTTTGTTTCCAGATTTTTGTTTGGTCTTATATTTTCATGTATACATTAAATAAATAAATAAATAAGTAAGTACGTATACTTGTACCTAAGCTAAATGGGAATTTTTTATGTATAATCTCAAGCGGTCCATGTATGTATCTATAGATAAAGGACAAAAATCATGTCACTTCTTACAAGGTGAATAATGTGTTCTGTTGGCAACATAAAACTCTGATATAGCAGCTGCATGAGATAGAACAATAATTACATGAAGTTTGTTGTTTCTTTGCAAATATTCTTTACTTAAAGTGTGCATTTTTACGATTTTTTTTATATATTTGATAGTTGACATACTTTATCGTAAACACCAATCTGATTAAAATTAGCTCTAAATAACGTTCCGCTTTTAGATCTAACCGTGACCAAATACGAAATCATTTCTTGTGACCTTTCACACAGCCAATCTTCGGCGAACTTTCATAATTTTGAAAGCGATGTGGTTTCTAATTTTAGCCCTGGGAAAACCAATACTTAGTAGGTATTTTTCACGATTTCCAGAACAAACATGGCGTTTTCCATATAGCCGACAGGTTAAATGGCAAAACAATCTTGCCCATTAAAATTGACTTAATTATTTCAAGTTAATTTGTTAAAAATTACTTCAAATTTTTTTTTCTAACAAAAATCAACAATTTATTTAACTTCCAAGGATAATTGTATTTTAATACTTCTTCTAATGCCTAGACAAAATGTCGTAAACATGACCTTTCCCTTTTGATATAACGGCAATCAAGTTCATTTACATAATATATCTACACTACTAAGTAAATTTGGAAAGAAAATGAAAAAAATGAAAGTAAAATGAAATAAAAACATGTATCGTAAAAATAAAGTTACCTCAGCAATGAAGGAAAATTAAACTTGATTACACCATTGCTATGTATGGCCAGGTTATAATCATCTATTCCAGATAATTTATCTGCTGCTGCACTGAAAACAAGTCATCTTGATAAATTAAGTAACAAACAATTTGTAAACTTCTTTCTAAAATATTTAAATTTGAATGGGAAACCGCCCCATTTTAATATCTCAAATCATCTGAAAGCTCAGAAAATAACAGTATTGTTTATATAAAATGAGTTGGACATTTTGATAACTTATCCTAATAAAACAAAATATGAAAAGAAATTTTTTATATGCATTCAAGATTGATAAAAAAACTCACAATAAAATGATGGATTCAGCAAACACATTTTAAGGAAAATAAATTAAATTATTATACACTTATAAATGAAATATTGAGAAGTATTGATGAAATAACATGCGTATTTTCATTTTCATTTTTCGTAATTTCACTACAATGAAATATATTTTCCGTATTTTCACTGGTGTCTTGCCGGACTACTGTCTTTTAAATTCATCCGATACACAAATTTTAATTGGTTTGTTTTTATTGTTTTACATGTATTAAATATAAGCCTGTAAATACAAAAGCAGATAGTTAATATGCTAGTTTTCTTTGAAAACTTTTAGGAGGTGTAAGTTAGAAAGTATTATTTAAGACTTTGATGATTTAATACGTATGCAAATATTGAGGTAAAAGACACACACATTTTTGGACTTTTAAATCAATGTTTATAACATTAACATCTTTAAAGGCTGTTTTTCCAAATGGTATTACGGAATGTTTGTTTGATTGCTGAAGTTGTACTCATACCTTATTCTTGAAAAGAAATATCTTTCTAGAATACAGAAATATAGTCGTAACTGCTATATTAATATCTATGAAGTTATTATATAAAATTTGATTTCAACAAAGGAGAGCAATGGTCATGGAACCATTGAACCGTCGGCGCCCAGTGGGTCACCTAAAAGGAATACAGATACAAATGTACTTGTGAATATTATACCTGTTATCTCAACCGCAATACGTTATAGTAATTCAAGAATAATGTCATTTTCTCTTTGTCATAAATATCAATACTGTAAAGGTCAATGAATAATTGATAAACTTAAATTATCATTACTTATCATATAAGGTGAGATCTGGCACCCAGACTTTATTCTGTGGAACAATGATGTCATTTATTCCTTCGAAATTACTAGCATTCCATTTTAACCTACAATCTTCCCATTCCTGCAACATACAAAAATTGTTTTGTTCATTTTTGTTTCTAGATAAAATCATTTATTTACATAATACAATGTACTAATGTAAATACGTATACAACATTAACATAATAAAAGGTACATTCATGTATGCATAAATAATACAGGATCGAAAAAAAACAAACAACCAAACATCGTTTTGCCATATAAAGTTCCTGATGCTTTTTATAATATGACCCTTTTCAATGTTACCTATTTTGCAAACTGTACTCACAAGAAAAGCATTATATGTGGCACATTTACCTTATTCTGTAAACAATATTAAGCAATATAGACGCTTATTGACCAGTGTTAGTCAGTACCTCGAAAATGCTGTCATATTGAGAAAGCCTGTTGCATTTATAAATATTGTTAATTGGAATATTTGTTGTTCATTGTAAAACTTAACGCAGAATAATACAGTTTGTAATTTTAATCTGTTATGAATACTTTACTAGAGTTAGTTTTTGCTTCATCTAGTAATATGATGCTTGTGGGTGGAGCGCTACTATCATTTTGCGAGTGGTCGATTGTCTGTCTAACAAAGTATTTAAAATCACACATGTAAATCAATTCTGTTAACCACAACTAATGTGGAAAAATCTGACTCACCATTCGAACCCATAGAATAGAATTCAAAAATTGTCTTGGCTCTTCCTGAAACGATAGTATTTATACTTTAATCAAGCTTGGTAAATTCTTAATCTAAGCATGTTTTTAGTATGGGTAAGAGTTCGTATTAAGACGACCGTAGGGAGTCTTATCGAACTCTTACCCATATAACTGCAAATCGGCTCTTACAACTCGATATCAGATAAAAATATAGAAAGTGTCACCTCTTTAATTAAGCAAAACATTATTTTTCCCCAGCAGTCACGTACAAACAAGGATGGGGTCCAAATACTTAATCTGGCATTTTAAACAATGAGTTTTCAACAATACCTAGGATTGTTAATGCAATTCATTCCTGTCATATGAAACAAAATAATGTTTTGCTTACTTTTTCTAGAAAATATAAACAGTCAGCAATTAATAATTAACATTTTTCTTAGAGTTAAAAGGATATCAAAAAGTTACTGTGTTCTCATTTGTCTCTGTGAGCTGAGCTCCACTTGTATTATCTTTGTAATAAATTTGAATGTATCCTCACATTGCTACAGTGTTATCAGCCTTATTAGAAACACCTGACCTGGCTAATTAAAATATGCCAATCACAATTTTCACTATCAGCACTGGTTTCTTCATGACAAAGCGGATACACTAATTACTGCCGAGTAAGAGCCGATTTGCAGTTATAAACAGTAATTAAGCAATAAATAATAAAGCAATAATTAGTGTAGATAGTGAAAATTGTGATTGGCATATTTTAATTAGCCAGGTCAGGTGTTTCTAAAAAGGCTGATAACACTGTAGCAATGCGAGGATACATTCAAATTTATTACATAGATAATGCATGTGGAGCTCAGCTCGCAGAGACAAATGAGTACACAGTAACTTTTTGATACCCTTTTAACTCTAAGAAAAATGTCAATTATTAATTGCTGACTGTTTATATTTTCTAGAAAAATGAGCAAAACATTATTTTGTTTCATATGACAGGAATGAATTGCATTAACAATCCTATGTATTGTTGAAAACTCATTGTTTTACAGGCCAGATTAAGTAATTGGACCCCATCCATGTTTGTTCGTGACTGCTGGGAAAAAACGATGTTATGCTTACTTCCTATATTTTTATCTGATATCGAGTTGTAAGAGCCGATTCGCAGTAATATGGGTAAGAGTTTGATAAGACTCCCTACGGTCGTCTTAATACAAACTCTTACCCATACTTAATACGATTTGTGTAAAATGAGCACAACTTTGTTGAATTCCGTATTCATGTTTGACTCATCGTTTGAGTTTTGCTGGCCAAATCAGCACAGATCACTTCAGCATCAGCTTAAGTATTATGTATTGTAAAAATGACAAAAACGGGTACATTTTGCTTTGGTTGGATTTAATGTCGCACCATTATAGTAGAGTTCATATGGCGAAGAAGACATCAGGCATCCCGCTGTGAATTATTTCAGACATGAACAGGCACCTGAGAAGAACCACTTTGTTCTGCAAATGAGCTGGATAGTTCCTTACACCAAAGATTCTCAAGTTCCTAGCATGATTGGACCCAACAGACGGAATACGAAATACGGAGCAAATGCAGGGAGGAGCATTGGTTGGTTTATGAGATGTAGCAATTAAGTAATTTTAAGAACAGCCCTCATCGAAATCCAACCAGAAGATTCAGTTTTTGAATTTTGTTCTAAAATATAGAATGAACTATGTTAGTTTTTTATGTTATTAATTTTTTTTCCTCTTTATTGGTCATTGCATGCATTGATTGACATTTTAACAAATGAGTATATAACAATAGATTATCAGATGAAATAATTGTACTCATATTATTCTTGTATATACAATACAATATAAAGACAATGGAAACGATTTAATTTGTGTTATTACATAGTTTAGTATTATGTTGCAAATAAGAAATCTTATATATAAAGATAAGAGAAATATTAAAATGCATAGTTACTAGATCAACAATTTGTCTTAATGCAAAGTCAATGTACACTTCTGTGATGGACGATGCTTTACACATGGGTCTTGTTTCTGCCTGGTAGTCTGATGTCATGTTCCGGAATAATTCATCTAGAATTGAGCATCTTATACCTGAAAAAATATAGATATATTTATCTTAATTGTTCTCTTTAATCAAAGCAGGTTTTTGTTGTACAAAATAGTTTTTAGCACTTTGAAGGCACTCACAACAACTTTCATAAGTCCAAGGAAAACAAAATTGTTTTTTGTTAAGTGTTTTATACTAGTACTTGTTTTCCAATAAATGACAAGTTTTAAAGCATTTTATCGATCAACAGAATGGACATTTTCTCGTAAAAATTATAGCTATGACGGACGAATAATGCATTATTATTAACCGTCGCGTAGATTTGTTTAAAATAAAACAATGAACTTTAGTTTTAACATATTTTTATTCAAGATATATAAACATGTTAATAAATTACAATTTAAAGCAGAAAGGAAATGGACAGAGAGCTGAAATAGCTCATGGTAGTTCTCGCCTTGTATTTTGAGAGAGAGGGGGTGTTCATTAGTTATTGCAAATCAGACAGCCCAAAAAGTACCAAGTATACAGGTATGGTCTAAGTTAAAAGATTGTTAACAGCAGATGTACTGATATTAAAACACGTTTTATAAAAGCCAATTTAAAGGTTGTTTCAGCGTTGAGAATATTATACAACAAATAACTTATTATAAGCCGCGTCACGACAAAACCAACTTAATGCGTTTGCGACCAGCATGAATCCAGACCAGCCTGCGCATCCGCGCAGTCTGATCAGGATCCATGCTGTTCACTATCAGTTTCTCAACTTGTAATAGTGTTTGTAAGCGAACAGCATCGATCCTGATCAGACTGCGCGGATCAGGATCCATGCTGCTCGCTATCAGTTTCTCTACTTTTTATAGTGTTTGTAAGCGAACAGCATGGATTCTGATCAGACTGCGCGGAAGCGCAGGCTGGTCTGGATCCATGCTGGTCGCAAACGCATTACGTTGATTTTGTCGTGACGCGGCTCATATAATTGTCTGACAAGTCTAACAGCAAAAAGGAAAACTATGCAAAATGTGCAAAACAAATTTTGAAACAAAGACAAAAATAAACGTTTTGTCGACAAAAAAGCAAAGACACTATATATCAAATGCTTAGTTAGCTTTGTTGCTTAATCAAATCAATTATCTAACATTGTTTGATTATATAATTGATTTTTATGTTTATTTATATTATCTTATAATCTAGCAATATTTCCGGAATGTGTAGGATTATGAAATAGGAGTCACCTAATTCATTTAACATATACAATAAAATGTTTAGAGTAAATAATGCGTCATTTATTCTATCAACATAGTAGAAGAGCAATAATGTGACAATTAATGGATTGTATGGAAAGTACTTTTATGGCATTTATTGGAATTGTACACTGCAAACAATGAGCAATAAAAGTTATGTATCTGCAAATATTTGTTTTGGTTTGCCATCTAAAGGTGATTATGTATGCTTTTTGTGATATTTTTAACATTCTAACATGCTTCAAAATATTTCCCTATCAAACAGATAGACTGATAGGGAAATCAAGTGCATTATTACATGATATATGCATAGCATAAAAACGAATGCATACACGCCATATGACATCATATATATGACGTCAATAAACCAAATGAAGTCAGGAAAATTACTTCCACGCCCAATGTAGTTCAGCGTATAATTACCTTTTTTCTTTATCATTAGCATGTTAGAATGTAAACAAATTTAAATTGTAAACATTATAGAAGAATAATGCACGGTTTATCGTTCAAAAGCTTTGCAATTAATCACGCAGGCCACCCGGCCTTTGTGATTATATTCCAACGCATTAGAATTTCAACCGTGCATTATTCTACGACAATGCACTCAAAATTGATAGATATTTCCTAAGCATACTTTACTTTTTTATTGGACATATAAACCCGTATACAGTATAAAATAAATGTGTCATCGTTCAATTCGAACAGTAAGTAAGTTATTAAGTAAATTGTTTATTATTGTGACATGTGCATAGTCAAATACAAATAACAATCGTATATATGTACAATTATAGCACCCGGCCCAATGGGCCTATAAGTTACCAATGTAATGATTTCATAATGCATCATAGAAAACATAGAATGTAGAAATCATGGTATAAACAAATATAAAGTGTAACCTGATTCTGGTTAATGCTTACAAACAATATTTCAAGGGCTACAAACGTTTAACGCTCTATATAGAGCTTTATTGAGAGTTGCGTAGTTAGTTTTTTTTTCCATTTATTATTATCATTGTCATTAAACATTGAACATTAAATTGATTAATTCGAAAGTACAGTCGTTTCATTCATTTCAAATTATTTTTTAAACAAACTGATACATTTTATTAATAAATTTATTATATGTATTCGGGCAACTTGTTTTTCGTATATTATATTAACTTTCGAAGGGTTCAGAGTGTTGTTGTTCCTGCCATTAAAACATTATTTTCATCCTGAAAACACACTGGTTGTTAACGTATTTAAGAAAGAAGAAATTCGTCAAGTTTTACGAAATGTTTTATTATTTATTTCATACTTATTATTCAAATGTGAAATATAATAAAATTTGACTGTCTAATATTTCTTCATATAAACCCGTTTTGCTGTTTAGCATTTTTGAAAATCACAAACATTGATGCAATAGAAAGTTATATGTAGAGTATGTAAGACAGTCTTGTAAGGCATCACAATGGAAAAACAAAACCACTCATTGTTTAATGCTGTATTTTGTTCCTTATTTTTCATGATATACAGCACTGCTATTTTCTCAAGTATGGTGCATTATATTTATCATAACCAGCAACTAGATTCAAAGTGCTTTCAGAGAGAATTACGTTTCTTTTTAGTCAGAGTATGATATCAACATATTTAAAACCATCCAAATTAAAGTTACAAAGAAAATAAAACAAATCTTTTATAATTTACATTATTAGTTTAAAAAAAACAAATTAAAAAATACAACAAGAAAAACAAACCGATCGTTTTATAAAATCCATAGAAAAAAGCAACAAATAAAACAGCAAGAACAACAGCACCCTCCCTTTAAGTAACAACAACAACAACAAAATCCTGAACTTACCTGTAAAGGTAATTAAAAGCAAAATTATAAATTCCTTTTTTAGCATTATTGTTCGCACGCACAACTCTGAGTCACAAATGCTTATTTATCAGACAATGTGCATACTGTTTATTGATATACCCTTAACCAAGTATTTGCTTCTATTCTATTCGTCACAGCAGTCGGGTCTAAATCAACACAAATCACGAATCACTTGTTATATAACAGCTTAAAGAACTTCTGTTTGTCGTATCGAACTTCTATATCACAGCAACCGGAAAAATAAATAGATATAAAATTGAGCCGCGTCACGACAAAACCAACATAATAGGTTTGCGACCAGCATGGATCCAGACCAGCCTGCACATCCGCGCAGTCTGATCAGGATTCATGCTGTTCGCTATAAGTCTCTCTACTTGTCTAGATCCATGCTGGTCGCAAACCCATTATGTTGGTTTTGTCGTGACGCGGCTCAAATGTATTTTTATAAACATGACGTTTGAAACTCTACAATATTGCACTAGCTTGTTTGTACAATCATATTGAACCGATGTAATCCTGAAGCAGGGACATTTATGACCATAAAGCTTCTAATGATTTAAATTTTCAGGATTGTTTACCTGTTAATGATTACCTATTTTCTCTGAGGAGTGGATTATTGGGTTATAGATCAAAATCAATTCTAACACCGTCATCCCCGGATGTAGTGGTGTCTAAAGAAATATTGTGAGAATCGTTATGTTATCATATTTTCGCTTCATTTAGCGCTATTTCCATCACGTTCGTTTGGCGCAACGGAATAGTGTGTCTTCCTATAGTTGAAAGGCATTAATGTTTGACATTAAATACAAAAGAATTATTTATCGATGACACCACTAAACAGAGATATTTATATTATAGAATATTGTCTTCAAGAACTCGAGTTAATCATTTTGTTTTTGTTTATTTTAGTAAAGCGTGCAAATAATTGATACTCAATGTCAATTTAATTGGTAAGTCGTCTATTCACTGGTAACAATAAGGTTATTCAGAAAGTAATTGTAGTTTTAAATATAGAGATATATAGCAAAAAATATAGTACATTAGTACAAGACAATAAAAAGAATTCATTTGTATGAAGACATTCTACCCTAAGGACAATGTTAAACTTGACATCCTTTTATAATCTGAAGAGTTTCATAAATCATCATCATCATCATCATCATCATCATCATCATCATCATCATCATCATTATCATCATCATCATCATCATCATCATCATCATCACCACCATCATCATCATCATCATCATCATCACCACCATCATCATCATCATCATCATCATCATCAGCATCATCATCAATCATTCATTCATTCATTCATTTAATTTTTTGCATTATCAATAAACCATGTACCTATGATTATAAGAGATACAATAGAGGCCATAGTCTGCTAGACCTTTTCTTCTTTATCTTTCATTATCGCTGTGTTGTTTTTTTGTTGTTGTTTTTTTGTGTGTTTTTTTCGTTGTTGTTGTTTTTTAATTTTTTTTGGTGAATACCCGTATATTTATAATGGGATATTTTTTTCTTTATCTTTATATAATTTTTCGTTATTTCGTTCCCTGCTCAGCACCTATATTCTTCTCTTAAATAAGATCATATTGACCCACATTTTTTCTTGTTTTTTTTATTCCTTCATTAACATCCGTATCCATTTTCATTGCTTAATTAAGTGGACACAATATAGTCAGTTCTTAATAGTGAAATATAATAATCATAATATTCACCACTCTAATCTGAATATCATTAATAACCTTAAACTGATTATCAATCAGGTATAGTCATTAGTTATTCATTACTATGCCATGACGGAAATTGAATTGATTTTTAATCAAATGACGCATCCGATAACTATGCTAGTATCTTGTCAAAAATAATTGCTTTATCTTTATAGGCAACAAATCACCGTATCACCGTTATTTTTCATAGATTTATAAATGCAAGCGTGATTTTTATTCGCCTTTCATAAAAATGAGGTCATATTCAATGCAGGAATCAATGTTAATGTTCTATAGATGTCATCTGGGACACAATTTCCATGCTCTGAATAAAGTATCTGATTTGTTTTCACTAATGCCACTAGTTTAAAGCCATTTAACGCATGATAAGAATATCTGATTTTATTATTTTATATTTGTTTGAGCTTGGACTTGGTAGAATATGGAATTGCTGTAGTTCATGTTATCTAACGGAAGCAAAGCTGATCAAAATGATGAGAATGGTGATGATGATTAATGATCACAATGATTATGATGATGATGGTCGTGATGGTGGTGATGATACTAATGGTGATGATGATGATGATTAACGATGATCATGATGATCGTGGTGACTATGATGATGATAGTCCTTGTGATTGTCGTTATAGCTATGGTGATAATTGCTAATGATGATTATGATGATGACAATAATAGTCTTTAAGGTGGTCGTTGTGGAGATGATGGTGATGATGGTTATGATGATTTATATTGATGATGATTGATGATGATAGTGATCGTTATGAGGGTGGTTGTGATGATGGTTTTGATAATAATGATAATTATGATGATTCTGATAAAAAAAAATAGTCTTTATTGTGGCCGTTGTGGCTATGGTGATGATTGTGGCGCCGTTAAATGTCGCAACGCCGCTAAATGTCGCACTTGCCGCTTATTGTCGCACCATTGCCGCTAAATATCGCAACCGCCGCTAAATGTCGCAAAATCATTTGCCGTTAAATGTCGCAATGTTAACGCTAAATGTCGCACGAATTTCCCTTACCGTTAAATGTCGGAACACTACCGTTAAATGTCGCAAGATGTAAATTCATGTTAAAATCATGATTAAAGTAGTATTATATTACTTTTTAACATTCTCATAGTTATTTTTATTGTAATTGCCATCTTTGTTTTACATGTTTTCTTTTATGAACCTAAATATCGAGGTTTTGAGCTGCTATATAATGTAATCTTTAGGCTAGAAAGGATAATTGATACTAAATTCTCAATAGATAAGTATTTTCTTTTGTTTCCCATTTTCATTTGTAACCCTGATTGACAACAGATTAAAGGTATTATGGTATTGTCGCTCTCAGAATTTGGTTTAAGTAATATCATTTATTTTCCCAAACACTACCGAATTTACTTTAAATGTGGTTTATTTGTTAACTATGATCATATGATGCAATATCAAAGGACAGATAATCCTAGATGTAGTTTACAAAGTTATTCCCCTTATTTCTCTAAGATGTTTTCGCTCTGCTTAACCTTTTGGTTACGGCTAATTTCAAACATATTCACTTTAAACTTAAATACTTATTTCATATAAAAGTACTAATGCATTTCTAAAGGACAGATGATCCTGACAGGTATTTTTGCTAAATTATCTCTCTTTTTATATTTTCCCCCCAAAATACATATTAAATCTTCAAACGTGAAGGCAAAATTTTTATTTTATCAGAAATGGCAAATACGTGAAAAACATAGTATGAAATGCACGGTCAATACGAAAATCGAAAACAAAAAATATCATGTAGTACTCCTTGATCATGTAGTATTCGATCCGCAGTCGGGCGTTAGATATGACCGAATTTTACGATTAACACATATAATATGCACCGGAATTTTTGTTAGCAGCCAGCCCGCATAGCTCAATCGGTTAGAGCGCGAGACTTGTAATCTCGACCTTGTGGGTTCGATTCCCGGACTGGCAAACTAAAATTACTAATCAGTCTTTCGGATATCACTTTTAATCGAGGTCCCATGTATGGGTGCTTCTAGGGGAAGCTTCTGGAATTGGGGCATCTTTCTGTACCTGTAATTGCACTATCTCCAAAATCTAGAATGACTAATACACTTTTGGAGGACTCGCCCATATGGGCAACCGGTGGCGAGTATAAATAAACGCAAATACACACACAGTAAGCAGATGTCAAAGTTAGAATGAGGTCACAAGATTTAGTACATTTTACGATTTGTCAAACACTATTTACGCTTTGACATTGTGGCAAGTGATATTTTACTCGCCTATGAAAGATTCTCAGTAAATACCATATAATAAGAATACAAATAATGGGTTAAGCTCATATTGGCCTTTCTATTTGGCTGAAGACAGCTAGCCGTATTGGCCAGAGAATTTAGGGTTTTTATATCATTGCTTTGCTGTAATGAAAATCTTAATCTGTAAGCTTCATTTTAAATATTTCAATGAAATTAAATCTGACATCTTTCGAAAAACACAAGACATGAATAATACATATGTAACGAAGATATTAGTTAGATATCTGTAACCACTTTTATGTTCGAATTTTTATTCACGAGTTTGATTTGAACTTTTTTTTCTTATCATGTCCGAATGCGCATGTCGAGTACGTCATAGTGAAGTTCAAATGACCATAAATACAAAACATACGCACAATAGAGTATCTATTTTCAGATAATTTTAAGAACTTTATTTTTCAAAACAAAAACATAAGACAGATGTGTAAAGAAAACATCTTTTTAATTTATTGCAACAATAATATGAATAACCACTGCCTTTCTGGTGTTAAAATGGAAATAAAAACACGCATACGAGAAGCAACTTTGATAAAAGCGTAAACTGTTTGTGTGAACTTCACTCTGCAAATTAAAATCTATTTAACTTTTGTAACCATGCCCCATTGATCCCTACCTCAATCAAAAGGAAGAATACCATGCATGTTATCTACCTTCCAAATATGAAATACATTTGTCAATAAATAAAGGCTGTAAAAGTGTAGAAATCTATTTTTAGAACTGGCGACCTTGACCCAACTGAACCCTTACTCCATCCAAAGGAGAAGACTTCAATTTTATGTTCCTACAGATATAAAAGTCATCTCTCAAAAGAATAATGTTAATGCACCTGTAAAAATGTGAAAATCTATTTTTGGCATTGGTGACTTTGGCCTTGACCCACAGGACCCCTAACTAAACCCAAAGGAAGAGGACCTCCCTTGGCATGTTTGTATTAAACATGAAATATATTAAGTAATAGAAAGAGCATCGAAACACGAGGCTAGCTGATTTATACTCGGGGGCTACGCCCCCTCGTACAATCAGATAGCCTCGTGTTTTGATGTTCTTTCTCTTTTGTATCATAGTCAAACATAAAATCACGTTCCCTGATACCACAAAATGAAACCCCACAAAAAAGTAACCAATGAACGAGCATCTGAATATGATATTTCCATCGCTATCCCTTTTTCTGTCGTCACAATATGTAAACCCTGGACAAAATGAACC